TCGTTTTCCATAGAGCAAAAGGACTGTTTTCACAGGCAGATAATGTAATCTATTTCGGGGAATCTGCATGGAAATGAATGCTGAATGGTTGTTTAACCTGGTGTTTATGAAGATGTCTAATGACTTTTAGTGCTTTTAGATGTAAAAGAAAAAAATCATATTTCTAATCCCAAATAAGGGACAAGCTTGTTTATGCCTCTTATATTCCATTAAAGATGCAACATTTGCTTTATGTCAAGAGAAGTCCCAGCTTCTTTAATGCCTTCTATAAGTGCAAATATTAGCTGGCACTGAAATGGGATTCAGTTAAGATCTAACGTCATGTCACCAATATTGCTCATGTTATAAAGAAAGTGGCAATTCTTTTGAATAGGAACTGCATGGCTTGTTCAAGTAACTCCACTCTATGTACATTCAAAATTGGCTTCTGACAACAGGATTTCAAAAGTAAAGTGCAACATATTTGTACATGCGAGGAAAAATATAAATGAGCTGTAGGAGAGCAGTTGTCCACTATTCACTAGGCATAGGTGCCCTTGACTAGCAGTCTGACAGCAAAAGCTTCCTTATCACTAAAACAAACACACACACCCAAAACCACAAGCTGAACATTTCTACCCAGAAACTAACCAGGCTTTCTTGTAGAAGTTACATATCTCACATTTCATATCCCCTCTTTTGATGGTTGAATTGACTAGCAAAAGAAAAAAAGAACTCCCTGGATACATCATTTTTTTGCTGTGACAGTGCAATGGATCATTCTGTTCTCTGGTTACAGCACATCATGAGAATGCAATTCAGTGGGTGACCCAGCCAAGAGGGGATAACAGGGACATGAACTACCTGAATTACCACTCTTATGGAGCACTGAATCTACATTTTCGCAAAGGAACAGCTGTTTTTCAAGAGTTCATTCCTCATCAAGACATTCAACCTTTCCACACTTACAGCATATTTTCTTTGAAGATTTAGCCTGTTGAAAATCCTGCCTTACACCTGGAACAGGAGAGACAGAAAAAGTTTCTTTTACTCCACTACCTACATTCTTTAGTAGATCATTTGGAGGAAACCGACCATGGTTTCCCTTTAATAAAGTCCAACATGCTTATACAGAATACAGATGGAGACGAAATGCAAGAATATTGGATGGAAAATGGACATATTTTATCCTTTCCTCTTGCTCTGACTGCATTTTTCTCCTCCTCCACACACACCATCATCAGAGAGTAAGCTTCTAGCCATTTTCAGAGGTTGCTTAGGAACTTTTTAAGTTATCATCATACTCGTTAAAGATATTTTAAGACACAGTTGAGTGTATCAGAATATGCAACAATGACAAAGCCAGGCTGCCTGGCATGTTTTGTTCATGCAGTATGAATACCTACATAGGAAAAATTCCAGCAGTGCTGCCTCAGTAAAAAACTTTATCAACAAATGCCCCTCCAGTAACTGAGATAACCAGAGGACCAGACAATATCATCCAGTGAATACTGGAGCCCCTCATTTAGGATCACCCAGTCCAAAACTCACTTCTCAGAGAGCCAAACTCTCTCACAATTACTTTTTTTCATGAGCTTTTTGGGATTGTTTCTTTCTCCTGTAGCATCCCAGTTTCTCTGGCACTATATAAGTACTACAATATCTCCACTGGGACTTACAGTGCTTCAGAAAATATACAACCTATGGGATCTCCTCCTCCAGTTGCTCACTCAGATTTCAGCAATGAAACAAATAATGTAGAGACTGCTTCAGCACTGTCTTTCCTGATGTACACAAGTACATCATTTGAGTACATGTCCCAAGGCTTTTTTCTTTGCCTCCTTGCACTTCTCTGAGTTGGTAACAGAGCCAAACTATAGTGTCCCTCAAGTAAAATCCAGAAAACATGTTTTTAAAATGTACCATCATCTCTGTAACATAACGCATTACTTTACATGGAAAAGGAAAGAGAGAAGGAGGGGAATAAAAAAGGAGCAAGCCTGGAATGCCAAATGGTTTCCCACAGTATTCCTTAACACCAAGGGAGGAAAGCATTAAATAACTGGTGCAGGCGTGTTTCCCTTTGTTAACACACCCGACATCTGTGATTCTGCTGCTTGCTGCCATGTGGAATCCCTTCCAGTTGTCCCAGCCTCTCAGAGTCCTGACAGAGGGAGTGATGGAGAAAATAGCAAAGGAAGAGCAGCTGTGAGTTTTCAAGCATAGTTTCCATTTGTTCTGGATGCCCATAGCAAAACCACCTTGATTTTTTGGCAGTAGCCGGCCTGAACATGTTTCCTTCAATTTGTTCCATGATGTGACATGACATGTTACTGGAAGGTAGCACATCCACACACACCAGACTGCCTGAGGTTGTCTAATCACCATGGTATCCATCAAACAAAGTGCACAAAATCTTTCAATATTTTTCTAAAAATATTTTTCAATTAGACTCAAGATTTACTTGGCCACACTCTGAAAGAATATATTTGAACCTGAGGACTGGATCTGTGTGATGATGAGCTCTCATCAAGAGCTGTTAATGAATCAAAGGAAATGACCCCTTGGATCTGATCAAGGAACAGTTTCACTCCTGTCTAGCTGAAGTGGCCAACACAGCTCATTGAATCCTGTCAACAGGATGTTGACATGAGTCAGCCAGCAATGTTTGCATGGGTCAGTCTGTAACAGAATATTCTGCTTATATAGGGTGCTTCTTTTTGATTTTTCACTTTGAGACTGCATCCCATTGCACTGAACTGACTACTTTCTTTTCAAATAGTTTAGCTTGCCATTATTGAGAGAGCTTTTCTATATCTGTCTGTCTGATTTGCCCTGCTGAAATTCTTCATTTCACAACATTTAGTTTTTTTAATTTTTAAGAGAATCTCCTTTTTGAACCCACAACTGTCATGGCACCCCATGCTATCCTACGCTGTTGCATTGGTCTTTGTTTCATCCTGTTCAGTGCCATCTGAATCCATTTTTTGCCCATAGAATGAATTCCACAGAGAATCAAAGTTGGCCAGGACAGATTTGTTTTGAACCTCAGATGGAATAGAAGGAACAGCATTTTAGTGTGTCTCTAATTACAGCCACCATGACAGTTCATATGTGTAGCAATAAAAATAACCATAAACCTACCTAATCATTAAAGTAAAGCAAACAGCTCCTCTCTGTATCATCATACACAGGTACTGGAGTTGCTAATAAACCAAGAGGAGCACTGAGGCACTGGAGTAGCATCTTTCCTATCTCCACAGTTTCTTAAACAACTTTAGAGGCGTATTTTTATTAAGTATATGAAAGGCAGATGATCTTAAACCTCAAAAAGAGTCTGTATAATAATTGTGTGCTCTTCTAATGCTCTCCAAAGACCTATTCAGAGTCCATTCTGAAAGACAATAATATATCAAGAACTTCTGCAAACTTCCTCCTAATGAACACATGCCAATTTGAGACCAAGAATTCTGGCCTCGGAGGACAAAATAACCACTGCACTTAGTCTCTGGGTGTTTTGCTACTTTATTTCAGAGTGATTCAAAATCTAATTAAATTTCTAAACTCTAATGAAATTACAGAAGAAAAATCATTTAGGATTATATTATATACAATTACTCACAGCTGAAAATTACAGTTAGCCTCTTTCACCATGATAGGGTCTCCTGAGAAATCCTTGTTATTCATATAACATATAAATCTGACATTACTCCCACTATTTACAGGTCGAAGGTAAAAGCAGAATTAATTAAACATATATATCCTGCCCAGTGGCTGGATGGTGAAGAACAGAGGGAAGGTTTATAATGATGATGGTGCTTGAAACCACATTTCCCAATTTGGTCAAGAATCAGAATAAACCTATTACAAAGCAGGATTATATTGTCTGTCTTATTCTGGTGAGTGCTTTTTCTTGCTGGAGATATTCTGTGAACAAGAACAGTGAAGATTACACAGTCAGCTGTGTGCAATCACCTAGCTAGGTTCTTTGAAGCATTCATGGAAAAATAGCAATGGAATAAAGCAAATAGCTTTAGAGATTTCGTCCAAATACTCAGATGCTTAGTTCTTTCTTGGAAATACTAAAACTACTTGAGACTGCTGATTTGGGCCAGTAGAAGCAACAAAAACCAACCAATCCAAAACAAAGCAAAACCACCCCCCCCAAAAAAAAAAACAACCAACAACCAAACACCAAAACAAAACAAGCGAGCTGACATTCCTGTTTTTACTTCTAGAAGAGGTTTTCAGGATCCTTGAAGCATGGGATCATTTGCAGATGAAACATGAGGATCCTGATATTTCCCATCCAGCTGGTGCAGAGATTTTTGTTTGCTTGGTTTTGCTGTTTCCAGCTCTAATCCCATAGAGAACCAGGAGCAGAGAAAGAACAAAAATGGACCACACACACATACACGTGTGTGTACACACCAACACTACAGGTCAAAGCAGAAACAAATACTTTCTATGATATCTGCCACACTCAGTCAGTTGTATCAATGCTTCACACAGCAAAATAGGACAGGGGCATCAAGATATTTTTCCTAGGAAGTTAGTGTCTGGGAACTGGCTTGCAGTGGTTTAGCAGCCATAGTGTGCTGCTTCTCTACTCCTGAAAAAGCTGATTATGAAAGGGAAATATTCAAATAAGTGCTCTGCTGAAAACATGATAGTATTCAAGTTGAGTTCATAAGAAAGCTAGCAATGCTGAAAGAGAATGCCTCAGAAAACTTTTGTAAGACAGAAAATCCACTTGGTTATCCACGGATTTAGAAGATTTCAGCAGAAACAAATTCACTATGGTAGGATGCTTTTGATATGCAAAAATAACTGTTCCTGTTTAAAGATGCCTTAGAGAGCAAAACAGTTGACCAGGCTGTGACTGTTGGCTGTCCATCTTCTTCAAACATTTTCAAGTTTATTTATGTATTGAGTTGAAACCCAAAAAAGGGAACTTCTGTTTGCAAATCTAACTACTCAGGATGTGACTGTAGTTTCTCAACAATCATGTGACCTACTTCAGCTTGTTTTTTCAGTCACTGCAGATGAGCAAAATTCATGAACACTTGGGTGCAACCATTCTGTTGTCACAACTTCATAATGACCTTACTAACAAGCTGGAAATCAGCACCAACAGCATTTCTTCTCTTACGTAAGTGATCTAACTTATTTGTTTTCCACTCTGTCTGAGAACTTTTATTCCTGAGCTTGATGGGCTTATTTATTCCCTAGCTTAATTGTCTATATCTTGTGTAAAACTCTGTTTCTTGGAGAAAAAAAAACAACAACCATTTGTTGAGCCAGAGGGGTACTTTGCTGAGTATGCTAGCTCACATTTCCTATTCTGGGTGCAAAGGGCTCAGCTGTGCACGATCCAAAAGGCAGAGTGAATAAATGGCTGCAGCTTTGCAGATGTGATGAGCACCTGCTGAGTACCTTGTTTAGTACTTTTTGTTTTTGTCTCCCTGTACAGGAAACAGTATTTCAGTCGAGTTTGAGGGAAAATTGACCTGCGTGCATGCTGACTGCAAGCTGCTTTTGGACTCTCCCTTACTGGACTTTCATGGTCCTGACTCACACTGCTTCTAATGCTCCCTGCTGGCCCAAAGCAGGGATTTCTCACAACCTGTTTTTTACTTCATTCTTACTCATCTCCACGCTGTGCAGGGAAGTGGGGCTCATGGCTAGGAAGCCTCAGCAGGGGTCATACGAGCATTGGGACAGCGCTGTCTAACGCGGAGTGGGGAGCTGGCAGCAGTTCAAGGGGCTACTGCCGTCCCCGTAAGTTTGTTAAGGGGGAAGGCACCACCCTCTGGTGGCAAAAGCCTCAGCTTTTACCTCCTCCCGTACTACCCTGCTTCATGCAGACATTCACAGAAAATTACCATCTACGCTTTGGGAATCCCGCAGGAGCAGTTTGCCCCACCTGAGACATGCAGACGGGTGTTTCCAGCTTGCATCCACTGGATATCCTGTCCTGCCTCACCTTCTGCAAAGCTGTCCACAGATCTGCAGCGGTGCTCTACCCTGCCTCTGGGGCTCCCAGAGATTTCCTTCCTTTCCTATTTGCTGCCTCCATTATAAATGGCAGCGAGCTCCTGGCTGCTGCAATGCCACAGGACTAGCCATTATCTGTTGCAATGAGGAGAAATAAGAGTTGGTGGAGGAAGGGGAAGAAAATTGGAAGCAGGAGGTAACAAGCAAAGGAACCAAGGCCAATGCTGTGTACTTGGAAAGACGAGGCACACATTGCTGTTTATCACTGCAGGTTAGGGCTGGGAATGGTTTACAACGCCTAATCCGGTGGGGAAATTGAGCTCTTCCTGCTCCCTGATTTGATGTCCAAATTGCATTCTGCACCGTTTTCCTGGCTGAGGTGACCTCTGGGCAAGGGCACCGCGTGAGCGGAGCTGCGTCGCAGGGAGCCCAGGCACAGCAGTGACACAGGCACAGCAGTGACACAGGCACAGCAGTGACACAGACACAGCAGTGACACAGGCACAGCAGTGACACAGACACAGCTGCTCTCTCTTGGCTCAGCTCTACGTGCAGCAAGGTCTGGGGAGGGCTGAGTCCGCCCAGAGTGGCACCGAGATCCCGGCCCAGCGAGTTTATCTGCGGCTCCATCGCCCGCTCAGCAGCTCTGCCCTGCCGCGGCAAGCGCCGCTCTGTGTCACCGAGTGTTTGCGGCCGCAGGGAGAGCTTCCCGCTGAGGGCCCGGCTCCCCGGCGCATCCTCCGCTCCTCTCTCCTGCCCCACCTGTACCGGGCCCATCCGCGGGCTGCTGTGCCAGCAGCACTCACCACGGCGCTCCGCGGCGGCTGGAGGCTCCCGCGGCGGGCTCCCGGCGCTGCCGGAGCCGGGGCGCATCCCCAGCGCTGCGCGCACCGCGCCCCAGCCGGGACACAGCACAGCGCGCGGAGCGCCGGCTTCCAGCCCCTCTGAAAAATGATCCTCGAGTCACTCGAGCGTGGGTATCAAATTCATCTGCTAGGCTCCTCCACACAGGGGCAAACACTCTGCAAGTCCAGAGGGTTTATTCAAGGCATGTTAGTCTAAACTCCCGACAGCGAGAGTCAGAAATCCAGCACAGGGACTAGAGCACTGCCTGGGACTAGAGCACTGCGGGGTTTAAGCCATCAGTTCTAACCCACCCCAAATAGGAGGTTTTTGTACATCCCCAAAAGATCTAAATTGCAGATAAGATAAAAATCAAACAGAAAAACGTGTATTTGCAGTAGTTAATCCACCTATTTCCGCCCAAGAAAAAACTGAAACAAATAGAATTCACCTAACACAGTCTTTGAAAGCAAGCAGTATTTAAGCAGCATCCAGTAAATGATATTAAACCTTAATTAAAAGCATATTGAAAGTATGAATTGAAAATATTCTCTTTAGTCTTGTGGGTTTTCAGGAATTTCCCTCTCTTTTTAAAAAGAAACTAATAATTTAATCTCAATATATTAAACTGACCTACATAAAATATTCCATGTAAAATATTATTTCTGCCATAAAACACATAATCTGTCACTGGTTTAATTCCATTAGAAAGCATACATTAAGGTCTTTGTATTATGATCATTAGGATAATAAAAGTAATACAATATCACTTTTATTATGCTTGAATTTAAAACATTTTTCATATGAGCACAAAGAATAATTAAGGGGATAGAAGAAAGGTGTTTTTTTAAAATTTATAATGAAATAAAATCACAGGCGAGAGCAAAGAGACTAGTTTTTAATACGGAAAAACCAGAAGCTATGCTTTTTGTGCCCACTGTATAGCCTTAGAGCTTTTTGCTCTTTTTAAATTTCCTTATCTTTATAACTTTGATTTTGGTCGTTTAGTATAGTCAGTATAAGCATAGATTCTCTATCCCTTGCAACTCCTTTTCTGAGTGTCATGGAGGTTTTGGATAGAAAATATTTCTGCTTGTACAAAGAAAATTCCCAGACATTTTCATTATGTAGAAGAGTTTGGAAAAAAAAAAAAAAAAAAAAAAAAAGGACTTTTAGCTCTGAATTATAGTTCCCATTTTTTTTTTTTTTTAACTCAAGCTCTTTTCCAGATTTTTGAAGCTTGATTTGTAATTTATTAAGATTTTGGAATAGAAATGTGATTTCAGACCAGGAAATAAAAATAAATCTGTTATAAACCACCCAGTATATCAGATTTTTTTGAGATTTTTTTGGCATAACTCTGGAAGCCCCAGGGCCCACACTCAGCTCAAGAGTTTTAGTAGTCTGAAAAGCAGATAGAAGATTATTTCTGTAAATCTACCAAAATGCCTTGTTTTGGAATGTAAGGACTATGCATCAAGCTTAAAAGTAGTCATGTTTCTAGCATTCATTTTACTGGACAACAAATGAAAGAAGACCCCAAAACCTCGAGAAAATAAAATTCTTTGTCCACAAAATGTGGAGAGGAGGAGCTGGGACATACAACGTTGGACACCTCAGCGGTAGGAAAACTAAGTGCACTTAAGACACTGCAATTCTACTTGGCTTTCAGCCAGACAACACTCCCTCCCAGTCTGTGGTGGGGAATGCCAATGAAAAGATGATGTTGTGTGCAAAGCGGCTGTGTCCCCTCCAGGTGCCCCATGGACTGTCACCCTGCCAAGGAGTGGTGACTTCGTGTTGTGCCTGAAGCTCGTGCAGGAGGCAGGAGCTGAGCAGCACACAGGTGTAGAATGCAGGAGTCATATCTGCCTTCAAAGCCTTCTCATGGTCCAGCATCTCATGCAGCTACATCAGTTACATCATTTGGAGCTACTTAAAAAGGCCTTGGTGGAAACATCCTTTACTGAAAAAAACATTTGAGTGTACATTTTAAACAATTTTCTGTGACAACCAAGCAACATTAAAAGTAAATACGACCTCTCCTTTTTCTCAGTTTTTAAAAAAAGTTGATTCTGTTTTCTTGCTAAAGTATTTAGCAAGAAAATGTTTAAATGTTTTCTGTAAAGCCACTTCATTCTGGGGGCCTGCACACTCTGAGCATCGGGCACCATGGCTCAGTGACTTTATGGAGAAGGGAAGGGCCAGGAGGTGTCCCATGAACAGGGCATTTGGTATAGAATTCTCTGGAAAGGTTTGTTTCCAGCCTACAAAATTTGCTTGCAAGAGGAAAAGACTCTTTTCTGCCAGCAATAAATTACATTCTGAAGACTGGAACTCCAGGCAGGATTTGGATTCATGGGAAAAGGGGTGTTGGGCTATGCCATATCCTCAGTTATTAGCGTGTTTTATTAGCTTTAGTGCATCTGTAATCTTTTCCTTGATTTATAGCATCTTCTCTTGTATATAGCTTTCTGGCTTGCAGTGACAAAACATGGAATGGAAACAGTGCTAAGGCAACACAAATTTTTGGAATTGTATTTTCTCTTCTGGTCAAAAACTGGCACAGTGTGGCCACATCTCTAGGATGCCCTCATTAACTTGACTGATAACATTTCACTACTGCAGGAAGCCTTGAATTCTATCCTAAGATTTCTTAGAATCAACTATCCCCTTGAAAATGGCAGAAATGACATTCTGCTCAATGTCCTAACAGGCTAAAATATTTCCATTCCAGATTTTTGGAGAGCAAAAGTACATGCTTCTGGAAACCCAGAGGAGGAAATAGGTGAGTTCATGGTGGGATTTACACATCCAGACAGGAAATTAGAGGTAAAATAACAAAACTGAATGTCCTTAGAAGACTTCATATACTTTTTAGGTGTAGAAGATAAACACTGTGAGTTTGTAGTTGCCTATGCTGCAGAGTCCAGAGCATGGGACTCAGATCCTGAACACAGGCACCCCCTGCCTGACATACAACCCTTATGTACACACAGTGATGCCAAATCACAAGACATAGTTTACACTTTCCAATTCCCCTTCCTCCCAGCAAAGGCTTACAGAGGCAGAACAGCTGGGCAAGGCAGGAGGCGAGGGACAGGGAGGTGGATATGTGCATATCTGGGAGCAGCAATAACAGTTTGGAAGGATGCAGATTGGCAAAGGAGTGTGGATGGGGGATTTTGCTTTTGGGGTATTTGTAAAGCCCTGGTTCTAAAACTCAGCTGAGACTGGCACACACTAAAAGCTGAAGTTGTTCATTATCAAAAAACAGCCTTGAGCCCCTTAGCCACAAGTTCACATGGCTTCATTTTATGCAGAGATTTTAAAGAATAGACTCAGAGTCTTCTCAGGCACCTACTCTGGCTCAGCATTTTTTTTTTTAGGGATGTGTTACATCTGAAACTCAAAGAATGTATTTATTATGTAAAGGCGTATACTCACTGAGTTGTTTTCAATATTTGCAGATTACACATATGTTATTATAGGAGTTACTCTGGGAGCAGTTCTAGCAATCGCTTTTGTAGCAGTAATAATCTGCATGATCAAAGCCAAAATGATTGACAGTGACTTTGGAGGTAAGACAAAATACTCCTTATCCCTTTTCCATAGATCTGACTCTCCTCATCTTCTGATACAGAAGATCTTAGCATCAGTGTTAGCAATTGTGTATGTACAACACCTCACAGGTTTTCCTGTGAAGAACTATTTTAAGAGTGTCTGAATTGCTGGACTGCCTAGAACTGCAGATTCACATTTCACTATAACCAAGTCTACTCTTTAGCCTCAAAGTTGTTTCTCATGATACCCAGGGGATATGCTACAACCAAACTCAAACCAGACAAAGTATTAGCTAAAACACAGCTCTGAGAAAATTGTCATGAGATATTCCAGCTGGAAGAATCAATAAGGGCTTAGGAAAGTTGCATGACACAACCAATATCAAAGAGTTTTGCCTCAGAAAGGATGGCTGGATCTTTTCCAGCTGTAACTATGTAATCCTGGTTGCCTCCTCACAAATTCTGTGGAGGCCTATCACCACTCTGTTCCTTGATTCTCAACTAACCACATTTTCCTCTTCTCACTTTAGAGTCAGATGGCAAAATGGAAAGAAGGTAAGAGTCATTGTGTTTTCTGATTTCTCTCTCATTATGCATGATGCTTCCCCATGTTGGAATGACTTCACATAACACACATGCCAAGCCTCTAGAGGACTGGGATATCTAGTGAATCTGTATGGGAAAAGGAATTTTCTTCTGCTTTTCAACATTTCAGAAATACACAAGAAAACCCAGCAGACTGAGATTCTTTTTAAAATGAAAATCCTCCAAACACTTGTGATGAAGCTTCTTTTTTGTTTGTTTGTTTGTACTATGCATAATAACAACAAACTCTGGACAAATGTCTTCTTCTAAGGTTACTGTGTCTGCATCCCAGTTCTGAAAACTCCTTTCACTCTGGGCTCTTACATGTCAGGGTCATGCATTGATCATTCCTGCTGGGAGGGATGCCTCTTTGCCCTTCACCTTCCTCCCCCTTACCCAGAAACAGTAAGGCCATTTTGGGTTTGAGCGCCTGACCAGTCTACCAGCAATTTCTGTGCATAAACCTGAAAAAGATTAGGACTATGTACGATAAGGTCAGAAGAACAAACATAGAATACCTGTTAAATTTTACTATGCTTTCAGGACAGTGTAGACAGAACAACGAACAAAGTCCTGAGAAAGAGCTAAGCCAGAACAGAAAAGCCAGAGACCAGAGTCAAGAGAAAAGGGAATAAAGGGATGAGAGGGACAAAGACAAGAAGAAACACGGAAGGCAGTGGTAGATTTACTGCCTGGAATGCAGACAGGATGATCTATGAATTGTTCCACACTGGACTTCTCTAGCTCACTTTGCTGTTTATTATGTGTCGTATTTTCCTTCAGAGACAGACTGAACATTTTTTACATCATCCTCTTATCTTTCTAGGGAAGTGAATGACTTTGTGGTGGCAGCAAAATTTAACATCTTTAATGGTGACCTTACATTGACCTCTTTGATATTTCCTTATCCTGTCTGCAGGCATTTGCTAAAAGGTAGAGTGAAATTTCCAGTTTCATGACAAAATTCTGGTCTTAAGGCTTAGAAGTGTGACACAACACAGAAACATTTTGCCTTAGAGTCACTGACACTGAGAGAAACTGTAATTCCACAATATTTTGGGGCAAAACTATTTAAGTTAAAGATGACACTTTTATGGCTGAGTAGAAAAAAACTTAGAAATCCACTGCCACTTCTTAATCAGTGTACTTTTCAATTCTGCTGTGGTAATCAGTAATTTACTAGCAAATCTTTGTTCTCATTCCCTTCAGGGCATCTATGTATTACTCTCTGGTAGGTCACTAAGGGATTCTATAATGCTGGTAATAATCTGTGGAAACAGAATAGCCTTCTACCGGTTTTGAGGAAACCTCTGGCAGTAAAAATACTACCAGAGCCTATAAACATTTAAAAATGCCCCAAATAAACTAATATTTAGTAGGATTTATTTAGGTCACCAGAGACACATATGATAATTAGGTCTAAATTTATTTTACCTACTTGCTTCAGTTCCCTAAGGAATTCTAATTTATGAGATTTTTAGACCTGTGGCTAGTCCTACAAAACCCTCTGATAAAGTGAAGTCCATTATCTGAAATCACCTGGATTATTCCCCACCCATACAGCCATCCTGAATCCCTCAGGGAAAGGGAACCTGAAACCTTCATGATGGTGTTAGGAGACACCATCCCTTTAGGACTGGAGAGGAGAACTGGCAAATCTTCTGCAAACAGCTTCACTTTCTGTTTGACCAGGGATGATTATTAATGCTTGTTCGGGAAAAAAATACTTAATCCAACTGATAGAACACTCAACCAAATTCACCTTCAGCCAAATTTTGTTTTAAATTTTACATCATTATTCCTACAAATGCCACCAGCCACTCCATATTTCCCTAGCTGGGAAATACTCCAAGTGGGCACTACCCAGCACTGCACTTCCACAGCCAAAGGAGTTGCTCAGCCTCGTACCAGCTGAAGATCTTGATGCACACAATCATCCTCTGTGTCAGAACCCCAATTACCTGGTACTGAACATAACTGACCCTTTCCAAGAACAGATTTTCACTAAAATCAGGAAATATTCGGATGCATCCCCCTTGATAATTTCCAAAATACTTAAAACACAAGTGCTTTGATACTCACATGATACTGACAGCTCATTGTGAGATAATTAACAGAATTTACCACTTTATTTAGTCAGGTACATAACATTAAGATTTAAACAATCAATTCACAATGGGTTGCCCTTAAACTCAACGGGATATTTACGAACACTTGAGAAGAAAAAGGCTTGAGGCAAGATTCTGTCAGCCAACAAAACAGCAATTTATATGTCAACTGACAATTATTTAACGTCCTCTTTTTTAATTAATAGCTCATGTCAGTATCAAATGCCATCTTGGTGTAAGCTTGGTAAATTATAATGCCTAAAAATTTCATGCAAGTTTAATGTATTCATAAAAATGTCTGGGTACATTTAATGCTGGCAATATTTTGAGTTAACTACAGTGCATGTCAGCCAGATTTATTTTGACAGGAGACAAAGAAAGAGACATACAGAGACAAGGAGAAGGGTGGAGAGACACAGAATGTTTAGTAAAAAGGAAAAGGTATATATTTTAAATCTGCCACAAATGAATCTGTTGCCAACATATCCAGGCAACAGCACACACAAAATTCCCTATGCCATTCACTGGGTTCTACAGGACTCCATGTAAATAATCCAGTAGAAAATCAGGTTCTAAATGCAATACACAGGTTCTTCTGATGTTTTATGGAAGAGAGGAGGAGCATGGGAGATGCTTGCCAAGTGTATTGGTGATTTTCTTTTCCTATCCAAAGCCTCATCTAAATAGTCTCTTATATTTTCCCTCCTGACTTTTAAAGGACCAACTTCTCTCTCCTTTGCTAGACTGTGCTTGAGAAACACAGGATACTTTTGAGAATTGTAGCATTCTTTAGATGAATGGAACAGGTCTTAGAATGTTACTGCACTTTGAAAGCCTCTAATATGTTCTAAAAATCACCAAAAACAGTGCCACACATTGCATAGGAGGGGAAATCATCCACTTGGAAAAAATAAACATCACAGATTGATGGCATGGAAAAGACTAGGTTTGGGCAATTGTGTGCAGGTTTCAGTGCTGGGCTGCAGTTTCTTCCAACTACCAGAACTGTGGCAGCCTAAACATCTGAACCAGGAGTCTTTTCCCTAGCATTTTGTCATGTTCAGGTCTGTAGCCTGACAGGCAGGGACAGTGAACAAGATCTGATCTAAGAACATAATATCCTTCATACAGGTTTAAAGTCAGATAGAAAGACAAAGATCTTGTTTTGGAGATGAGAAAGAGTTCTTTCTGATCCAAACTTGGTCTACAACACTGTGAATTGCAGAACACATAATTTAACAAACAGGAAGCCAAAAACATAGATGTGAGTCCCATCACTTCCAAATGTGAGACACAGTCTGTCCAGTCACTGGAGTCTGAGCTCATAAATAAATGTAACTGGAGATCTAGTTTTGATGCTAGAATGGGTACTTGAAAATGCCACATGTGGAAGTCCTTTGAAAAATGGTCCCTAAATTTACAAACCAAAATCCTTAAAAAATACAAATTGAAAAAAAGAGACTTTACCCTTGTCTGAGAGTGTCACTGAAAGAGTGATGCATAAGGGAAAAGGGTGAATATGGACAATATGGACAGCACAGGTTTCCCAGGATGCTGGGCACTGAAATGCATTGCAGCCTCTCACATACAGTGCCAGGTATTCACAGGAACACTAAGTTCAGCCCACAGCCTGGCAGCAAGTTGCCTGCATCTATCCTTACTCTCCTAAAACAAGCCTATTTTTTCTTTTGCTGTCCCAGTAATATTTTAAACCATCAGTTTGATCTTCTTGGATCTGTTGCAGACCAGTCACGTAGACTCAGCAGAATCTTTGGCACCTCTGTGTGAATGGATTCTCTTAACATCCCTCAGTGGTGCCCTAAGCTGTTCTTTCACTTGCCATTCTTGGTTTCCCAAGCAGACCTTCACAAGATCTTTCATTCTGACAAGTAGGATATTCTACATACAGTTCAATCATCACATCAACAAAGTTTTCAGAAATTGTCAGTGGTTTACATAGAAGGAAAAACAGAGTGAGCAGGGACACTTAACCTCTCCAGTGATCCAAATAAGCTTTGCAAAATCAATCACAAATTATTCCTGTGAGGTCTGTTGTCACTACAGAGCCTCTCTTCACATTGCCACCATGACCTAAGACCAGCAGTGAAGAACTGTCACAAGAAGGGGAGTGGAAGACAGCTTGGAGGGCTCCAGTCCTCTTATGCACAAGTGCATCTGCACTTCACTGAGTAGATACCACCTGCACAAGACAATTGCGGCTCTGTTGATACACCAGAACACACCCAATTCCTCTCTCAGCACTGTAAGGAGTAGTGGGTGGCTGATAGGCTGAAGGCTGTATTCACTGCTTTAGGTTTCCTCAGCATGCATACTGGGAATTGAGTTTAATGGAAAATATTTAAAGCTTCACAAATGCCATAATAATGCATGCTATTGCAAATAAATTTAAGGATGGGTAGAGATGATCTAAACAACTCCATGTGAGTGCAAATGTTAAAAAATGGGCAAATAATCTCAGCAGAAATAGCTGTCTCAACTCCTTGTAATATACATTTGCATAAATAAAATGTCAATATCCATTCTGTGTTGAGGCAATAGTCACCAGTGACTAGAGTAATAAACTGTTTTTTCTTCCTAATTCTGGCACTGCCCTGGCTAGCTGAACTTGTTCTTCTGAACAACCTTGGACACGTCCCTGGCTCAGGTTACCCTTTCCATAAAATGAAATTAATCTTTTTATCACACACTTCAAAATCAAGGACATAAAGCTTTGCACTATGCTGGGGACAGCAGGCTTTAAAAAGCAGCAGTAAGACACTCTGTAGGCTCCCAGCTCCATTCCTGGATTGAGGGAATACACACACAGCCCCTGAAAGACAGTTTATATATATATATATATATATACACACAACACACATATTTATGGCACAAACTGCTAGGGAGAGATTAATTCATTAAACCCATTTCAATGACACTGTATACCTCAGTGATGCCAACTATGAGCCTGATGGGCAGAGCCACACTTCTGGCTATTTTTTGCTCCCCTGGCCACCCTCCACATTCCCTGGGAGGGCACCTGGCCCAGGGCTCCTGTTCTCCTCTTGGATCTGGGGACTGCCTTTGTGGTTGACCTTTTCACAGCTGCCAAACAGGGAAGAAATCCTTACTCCTTCCTACCCTTCTGCACAACTGTTTGGGGCTAGTCCTGAATAGCTCTAAATTATTTGATTGTAGGAGTTGGTGCCAAACCTGCCAAATCAGGAGAATGCTTTCCTGGTAATATTCAGACACCTGTCAGAGGCAATTCCTTCCACCGCCGTCGTGGTCGCTGCTGGCAAACATGCTGGTGCAAATTATTCCAGCACTGGAGGAGTAATTCTACCCTTCCCTAGAGCTGCTGCAAGTCTGGATACAAAAAAAAAGACAAAATGTTTCTGAAGAGTACACTCTTCACCCCTGTCAGCAGGCACCCAGGGTAACTCAAGGATTAGATGCCACCGAGCAAAGAGCCTCCTGCTCCCTGGCAGCACCAGTCTGCCAAACAAACTGAGTAGCTTTGTGCTGCTAGGGCTTGTCGGAGAAGTGACAACATGGGATTAGCTAGGAATCAAGCTGCTATCATAGCTAAAGGACAGCTTAAAACCAACACAAACCAAGGCCTCTTGGTGCAAGAGGCTCAGGAGTGCCGCAGGTGTTAGTCAGACAAGAACAGCATCGAATTGGAGCTCCTGCATGCTCCAACTCACAGGTTTTTCTGTATCACATTTAATTTCTGTACACAAGTTCCCACTAGACTTATGAAAAAAGAATCACCGATTTCAGATCCTAAGAATTTTTGTCAGTGCCATCTCAGAAAACACAATTATTTGCAGATCCTTTTTTAAGATCATGTGTAGAGTCTATCGCATAATTTTATTTCAGTTCCCTGATCTCCTACTGTCCAAGAGTTCTGCCTTGAACAACCTGCACTAAATATCAGCATAGCTATTTGTTTTTCTCCTGATTGTTGCTTATAATCATCCACTCTCCATATTCCATGTGTACTTTACAGCCTGGTGTCAGAGCACAAATAGCAAGCTGAAAGAAATCAATGAGTAACCACCAAGGGATGCTGACTTCTGCTGCAAGTGCTCGGGGATCTGTGGTATACTTCTCAGCAGTTTGCAGAAGTTTATGGGCTTAAAGGTTTTCCATATGGATTTAAATGGGGTTAAAAGACACTTTGCAGAGACTCACAGAGTCAATGGAAAATTTGCATGGTCTTATAAAGGAAAAACACTGCCTGAAAACTTGTTAGATTTTTGTGTGTGTTTCAGTGTGTGCATTAAAACAGCACCTGGCTGACTCTCAAGTCTTATTTACTATACAGACATTGAAATGCTTGTGCTGGCACAGGAGAGGTGGAAGCTGGGAATAAGAAGAATAACTAACCCTGTAGGCAGAAATGGACATTTTAAAGTGTTTGTGAATGAGCTTCCATGACTCCCTGAAGCAGAGCAAAGCACAGGAGCAAAGGATGTCCCATGTCTAGAGAAAGGCCTGCTTCTCTTCTCCCCATCCCAGCACAGCTGTATGTTCTGCTCAGGCAGTCACCCTTCTCTACTCTCTCAGGGAACTGGCCCTGCCAAAAATTAATGTGGTAGAACATGAAAATAATCTTCAGGTACCAGGCTGTTCAAGGATATCTGGCACAAGGGAAGTGCAACTGAGGTGCCAGGGAAGGCTGGACTGTCCTGTCTTGCAGGAACTGGCATTGTCAAAAATGGGAAGATTGCCTGAGAGCATCAGCAAGATGGCCATTATCTCAGGGTAGCATTGGCCTCCCAACCAATCTCTTCTTTTCTCTTTATATATGCAGAGAATTGAGTTAGGATTAGACCACTTAGGAACTGCCCTTACTAGCAGTTCTCTGCCAGCTTCTTCTCCTGTGACACAGGCAGGAGAACCTTATCCAATGCTGATTCACCTCAGTTTGACCACATCACTTTGCACTGGCCTATTCTGTATTAATCTGTTGTTAAAAGTGGGGGAAAATACTGTATTTTTTAAATTGGCTACACATCCAGACAAAAAAATGTAGCACTTCACAGGCTAAAGTCTGTTATTTTTTGTGAAGAAATTTTTGACAAGTTCATAAGCACAACCTATATCAGGTCCCTGGTTATGTTTTGAAATGCCTCTCCTTTCTGGGAAAGACCTGCCACAAACTGCAACAAGCTGAAAAATATTATTGCATAACTGATACCTCTTCAGTAATGTCAGAGCTGTGTCACTAAAAGAAATACCTTGTGTGTGCAAAGTGCCAGACTAGCACAGGCAAAGGAGGGCTGAAACAAGCCCCAGGTACCTCCAGTGTGGTCAGCAGGCAAGCAGGCAGGTAGAGATGAGCCTTTGTCCTTGCATTCCAGGAGCAGACACTTTCTGTGGCTGCCCTGGAAGCTCCCAAGGGCTGGGCAAAGCAGGCAGAATGGGAACATAGCTGTGCTGACTCACCCCAGCCCCAAACCAGAGAAAGAAGGGAGGAAAAACAGCAAAACAGAAAAAATGCCTCTGGTTCCAGCCTGTGCCTCACTATATGGTCTCCCATGCACTGTATGCTCAAGTCAGACTGGAAGGATGAGAGTCAGAATCTTACAGACACTAACAGGGCAGTGAATTCCACGTGAACAGAAAATTTTGGCAGAGCATTCTGAAAGACACGAGTGACAAAATTTCTCTCAGAGAAGGAAAAAAGGCTGAGGCAAATTATGCAAAGCATGGATTGTCCCTGCCCACCAAATCTCCTGTGACAGTTTTCTTTAGCAAAGACACCAGAAAATGCTGGAGTAGTATTGTAGGAATGGGACTACGATGAAGTTCATTTCCCTGTGGAGTAGTGAAATTTCATATAAACAAGTCGAGGGCTACAAGACAAGATCAAGTTCCCAAGCACTGACACTAGATGGAGCAAAACTGAATAAAAGATTCAGAGTAGTAAAGAAAAGATAAAAAAGTTCCTGCAACTCTAATGTGTTACTTATTTGAATTCTCACCTTTCATTATGGCTCTGAAAGTCACAATTAATAGCTCACTCTTTATACTTTGCAGGTCAAACACAGGATCGAGCCAAAACAGGTAAGTTTTGGGGGAAGGGGTGTGGTGGCACAGGGAGTGACAGTAGTGGGCAGACCCAAGGTTGCAGAGGCACCTCCAGCGAGGGAAAGGTCCTGGAGCACTAAAGGCTGTGGGGTGACCCTGAGCCCTTGCTGACAGCCCGGATCTGCTGGGCACTCACTCTGCACGGGCCAAGGCAGGTCACTGAACCGTGCTGTCCCACAGCCCCCCTGAGGCTTACCTGGAGCTCCCTGGTGCAGGGCCAGGCACACTGCGAGGCTGGCTGCCCTCTGCAGCTGCCCCACGGCAGCAGGCACTCCACCCATTAACTCCTGGGAAGATGCTCCACAAAAGGGATCCAGGAGCTGCTCCCCACTCTGTGGCAAGGCAACAGTGGGAAGCGCCCCAAATGACAATAGTCCAGGGTCTGCAATACAGGGAGCCCTGGGATGCTGCCTGAAAAGGCATGGCTTGCTGCTAGTGGATTCCTAGTGGCAGTGACAAGGGCATCTGGAAGTCACCACAGCAGCCACAAGCATGCATTTGCTCTGTTAATTCACTTGGGAAAAACAGATGCCTCCAAAGGTACAAAGAAACATCTAGTAAAAGAAAAGGTAAGTGGAAGGAAATTCATCAATGTAATTCCAACATCTCCATTAAAATTTTTTCTAGAATTCCTGTGATTTTTATGTATCTCCCAGCTCAGCTTTTACAATGATGTTTTACCTGGGATAATCCAGGTAAAACCAAAGCCAGAGAGTTATTGTTAATCTGTGATTTTTCTTTCTTCTCACAGATGACAGCAATGCAATAAGAAACCAAAGTACAAGAGATCAATAACCCTTTTGCAATCAACAGTTACCACGTCTGAGGATCAATAGAAGTCTCTTGTGCACAGGCAGGAATCTTACCAATACCAATCCTTTTCTCTGTTCTTTAGTTGAAAGGCTGATTGATTGTTTACAGGAAGAGCTTATAGTGCAGCTAACTTCAATAACCTGCACCCAAAAGGCCTGCAATCCCCCTCAGCATGTCTGTGAAGATGTGTGAGGAAAATAAAATAGATGGGTTCTGTTCACTAATAGATCCTCTTTATTCTGTGATAAGTATATGATTGATTTCTAAAGTCAGTTAAATATCAGGTATTCAGAAAGGTGGCAATATAAATCAGCAGCAAAATGCATGGTCATACCCATATTTCAAGATAAGTAAATAAGTATTTCAGCAACTTGGAAAATCATTCATTTGAGGTTAGAACAAAACAAGGCTTCTCATTTATATCAGGATAAGAAAATAATTCATTAATTTAAAGTTTTATCTTTTTTAGATCTAGAACTGATCCTTTTGTAGGTGTTAGTGATGATTTAAACAATTTTAAAATTAATTATGGCAATTTAAAATTAAAAATTCCTTTTAGAAATGTTTTTTATGTTCTGTTGACACTTCATGTCAACACTACAAACAAGCTAATCTGTTATTTCCAGAATTTCCTTATCCATATTTCTTTAGTATAAAACAATGCACTAAGTTCAAACAGAATTTGTGAATAATTTCAGTTTCCCAGCACCTTCATTCTTGTTTTAGCCTTATATGTTCTGATGGACTTGATTACATCAAAATTGCTTTGCCTGGCTCCAATTATAAGCTTCTTACAGTGGGAATGATGAGAAGAAAAGTTAAAGCTTTGTTTCTGAACATTTAGAGTAGTTTAGATAATTTAAACCCAAGTTATTCTGTAAACACTTTCCAACTTTTAACAAAGCTTTGAGTCGGTGGCTTTAGTTTTGGTTCAGAAAATAATGCTGTAGATTCTATTCTGTTTAATCCTGTTCTTTCAAGAACGCTGTACGTAACATACTATCATCACAAGGTGCAAGAAAACAGGGAGATTTTTGTATTTCAACCCAGGCTTTTCTTTCACCTTGTGAAAGAAAGGGCAGGCAGTGTCAGCTGTGAGAGCTTTGGGAACTCTTGGCCACCATCATCTGCTATTCCTACAGCTTCTCTCAGGAAACCCAGCAGAACTTCAAGGCTTGGGGGCCTCAGGTAGACAGCATGCCAAGTGAGTTAAGTAATATCCCAGTATTTCACAGGCAGAGCTGCATGTTGGAGCATTACAAGATGACTCCAAACAGGATGTTACACTATTTTATTGCAGCTTAGCATTATCCAGACCCAGAGACCACAACCTGTAAATAAATAGGATCTTCATAACCTTTTAGCTCAAGCCAATGTCTATAGACATATAGGCTTTTTAAATCTCTCACTTTGCATACATTTTTAAAGTTCACTTTTATACCTGTTTTGGCTTTCAGTGTGGCAGATCATAATAAAAATAATAAAGTTATTTCCAGCTCTCCACTAATATAAGAGATTTAATCCAAACTAAAAAAAAAATAATCAATTGTAAGACTGAAGTCCAACCTAGAAATTCTGAGTGTTATTAAGAAATATCAATCAAAAATCATGGAGACAAGGGCCTCCTGTCCAGTAATCAACTTTCAGATCAGGCAGAGCTGATGTGCTGGGTCAGGGACTTAGAGGAAACATGCTGTTAGAGCATAAGAACAGATATATCAGAGTTTTGTTTTTATAAAGAATAAGCTACTGTACTACTTGTAACTAACTAAAGGGATCTCAATATAAGCATTTTTTGACTTTCACAAAGCAGGTCATTTGTCAAATGTGCACAGGAAACTGGATAGTAATTTTTGCACACATTCTGAACACCAAAACGTAAAATTTCTTTTGACAGAAGAATGATAAATTTGAATACTTTCCCTGGTTTCCTAGGTGTCTGTTACCCATTTCGGTAACACTGCAGTTCATTAGCAGCATTTGCTAACAGATAAACTAAAGCAGTAATGTGATACTTGTAAGTAATTTTGTGTACATGTGTAAGTGAATAAAGCATCTTGTAAGGTATCTGTTAATTGATTTGCTTCCTGCAGTATCATTTTAATTAAGACTTGGAACAGAAGAGAGAGCATGTGGTCAGGGAGGAAAGCTATCACCTTCACTTATTTGTGTGAACAAATGTTTCAGTACACATCATTTCAGTACACTATGGGAAATAAAAATAAAAATAAACAAGAAATGCTAAGCTACAAGCAGTAGAGGAGAAAGGCCTGGAGAATTAAGGTTGGTAATCTTGAACAGACAAATGTGCTGGGGTAGTGAATAGATTATGATTTCTTAAAACCTTTTGGTGTGTGCCTTGGCTCCTGGGGAGAGGGGGAAGGATGAGAAATACTGAGACAAGGCAGCTGGGCACAAGGGACCCTCAGAGCTACTGCTTCTGTTCTGAAAGGTTTGGGCACACTTACATGTGGCTGCAGACTTTTGCCACCTCAGGGAGTTGCTGTTTTGTCCATTCCTACAAGCAGCTTTACCAGCACCACTTGGAGCATCAGCAGCTTCTAAATTCATGCCAAACTGCACACCAGTGCTTGGAATTAATCAGTGAAGGAAAACTAGATGAAAAATTAACATCTGGGAGGCATTCAGTCAAAAGACTGAACAAAAGACACTGTTAACACCACAAATTTTTGATGAAGGTTGAGCCCAGGCAGTCAACATCCAGCAGAACAGGCACCTACCTGCACTCACCTGTTTGCCTGTCCAGCACAGGTTATGCCTGTCCATGCTACACACCCCGTGCTCTCCCTGAGCTCAAGGGCATTCCCCTGAATGGGTAACAGTGGAAAGCTCTTTGCAGTCAGGGTTTGGACACATGCCCCAGCATGTCATGCTGGACCTCGGTCCTTTCACAGCAGACGCCCAGCAACAAAATGATGCTGGTGAATGGAGTTACTCAGAAGAGCAGACAGTTGTAGGCACAAGAAGTGAGCTAAGAGGTGCAGGCACAGCGTGCATGTCTAAAGAGATAACAACACAGCATTGGCTTTAATTACATTGCAAGAGCCACAGCAACAGTGAGACCATTCAAGTAAATTCCTTCTGTCAGCTGCATCAGTGCAAATCAAAACTAACTGCAGCAGTCACACAGCTTGGTGGGGCCCTTGCTCACACGATAATAAATCAGGCAAAAATCCACTGGACTCAGTACCGCCGCATGGGTAATTAAAATGCCTGTGGGTGAAGTCCTGGGGACCCCAGTGATATAAATCCACTCTAAAAAGTATAAGGAAGAGGAGAGTTGATTCAGCTCCTCCCAAACAGAAAGGATGACAAAACTCAATGGTCAAAACATTTGCAATATGAATTTCTCTTGGCTTCTCTCATGCCTGTGAATGAAAACGCAGATCATTTTAGTCAGGAATATTTTTTCTGTTTCTCAGAACTGCACTTAATCAAATAAAAAATATTATTAAAATTCTTTGACTCGCCAAGCAAATATGGGAAAACACAAGCAAAGAAAGTACCTAACTAGCAGACCTGATAAAGGCTGTTTATACTATACAAATAGGACTTCTGAAAATTGCTCTCATTACACACAGGGAATATTACAATAGTCAGCCTAGGTCTGACAGAGGTCCATCTTCTCTGATAGCCTCTTTGCCCCAGCAAACATCTAGATGAAGCCTAAGAGCATTGCAAGGATGTGCCAATGATCTCCTAAAAGACTCTACAATCTTACAGCAAACTTCTGCTCAGTGTCACTAAACCAAAAGTGATGAACTTACTGTTTTCTGGTGTATTTTTCTTCCATTGTCAAAAGTGGTTAATTCCATAGATACTATATAGTTACACATAAAAAAACACAAAGGCCTTTGTCCTCCCTATCAGTACATCAGTGAATTTGTACAAATTTTCATGTTAACACATAATTAAAGCAATTCACATAGTCCTAAGAAGGCATGTTCACTCTTAAGGAGGGGGGAAATGAGACATGGAGCAGCCCAAGTGCTGCAGCAAAGGCTAGTGCAGGATCAGCAGAGCAAAGAATACAGACAAAGTCTTCCAAGCTCAACATGGTGAGCAACCTCATAGACCATCATTTTTCTCTACTACTGCCTCCAACAAAAATGCTGCTTTTGGAGTGGTTAGGTGTTAAGTATTTCACCTTATTGAATATATATGGTTTCAATTCTCATATTTCTGGCTTTAATTCCTAGACAAACCTTGTGCTTTCACTGACAGCTGCACCAAAGGGAGCCTCAGCAAAGTCAGTGACATAACACTGGGCTTCAACATTATGTGAGCTAATAACAAGCCCAAATGCATTGTAAACAAAGTGGCACAGTGCACACATTCTGTCTTCTGCATCCAGACAAAAGTATGTCTCGTGTTTCCTGCCCCATGCCCCCTCTCTCCATGCCATAATCCACAGGCTGCTTGCAGGATGCAAGTGGATTCATTTGCACCCCTCACACCACTGCTGATGGGGATCTGTCCTGATGCAGACTATCCACAAGCCTTTCCTTTACAGATCAGATCCTATCCAGCACTATCAGAAACCTGCCTCAGTCAATGGGCAATTAAAATAATTACCTTTAATTGTATTCTTCAATTACTCCACAGTACTGAGGGAAGACTTGGAGGGCTGGGACCAGATGCTAGCATATTCTGTTGTGATTAAAACTGGCTGAAATGCTCCAGTGAATATAAACCACTGACTATTCACCTGTTTTGGGAACAACCCCTGTATGTTTTAAGCTGCTTCATATTTAAACTCATTAGAGTGACACCAGGGAAGCAACAGAAAGCGGTGCTGAGTGCACAAGGGCTCCTGAAGGGACACCTTCAAAGGAGCTGCTACCTTGAAATTCATGCAAGAAAAAAAAAAAAAGGCTACTGTGTGCTCCTTCCTGCCAAAGGGATGCAGTGCCCAAAGTAGAGCTGGAATGGCTCTTAGGTACCTCAGGGGGTCCTGGTGTGAGGAGATGATTGGATGTGTGTGGTATGGGACTGTGGACAGTGGTAGGTTCACAGGGACTTGGCTGGGCATGCCTGGGAAATTGTTTTTTCTTATAAGCCAACTGATGATATAAAGGACACCTAAATATGAGAGAGAACCAGCTGATGTTGGGAAGGGATAAAAAATGATTGCAGAGGAAAAGGCAGAATATGTGAACTTATACTCGCATCAAATCACTGTTTTAGCAGAGTGGTGCCAACAGTCATTACTTAATTTGAAAATTTTGCACTATCTGATACTTGAGACACTAAGTCTTCAAGTCAAATGGCTGTGGCAACACCCACTATAATTTTGAATATACCTTACTTTTGAGCACATTAATAAATAATGCAGATCTAATCCATAACATTTTCCAAATAATGTTAATGAGACAATAACTCAAATCTAGTTCCTATTACAGCATGATCTACATGTACAAGATAGTGCAAATTGAAAATTATTCTCAAACACATGTTATGTAAAATTAACATAACCAATAAACTTTTGATTCAGATCCAACACCTGCCAGGCTTTTCAAACAAGATGACAAAGCTATGACAGGACCTTCTGTGTGAGTCAAAAATGCCTTCCTACCATGACTAAAGCAAAATTAAAAATACGTCTCATGTCTTTGATTATTCAGTAGAAACCATTCAGTGACCTAAAAGCAGGTGTTTTTTCAGGCATCCTTTTTGGAGAGGTGATGTTATTGATCACAATCGGGCTGAGGCTTTGAGCACATCAAGGAAAGGAGCAAAGGTGGCTGTGAGAGCAGCAGGGCTCATCTCCAGCAGCAGCAAAGAGAACATAAAAGGATCAGGGGGAATCCAGAAGTAGTACCTAGACCCAAACCAAATAACAGCTGCTAGTTCTCTGCTCCCAAGCCTTCCTACTATTATCTGTTATCTTCTCCTGCATAATTTGTCATAATCTCTGACTTGTAAGGGAAATTAATCATGCTTCAGAAAAAATGAGATTTCTCACAAGTAGATTATCTGTCTCTGACAAACAAGAGATAATTCAATTAGCTTCCTTTTCTAAGCATTTAGTAACTGGCTTTGGTAAATTAGTCCTTTTTGTAATTTAGCTATAATTTAGGAAGATTTAATATGTCATTAGGCACACCAAATTCTGTGTTAATATAACGTTATGGCTGAGATTTTAATTGCCCCAGAGTCAGGAACTGTATATATAAATGGCTTGATTCCCACATGGAAGCAGCTGATAGGAAATACATAGAGCTCCACAGAAATTCTCCTTAAAAATCCCTTCTTTTAGTTAAGCTCATGTTTAAGGACTCTGGAGAATAGGAGGCT